TTGCTTCTGGCTGTCCCCCGCTCCCTCTCTCTCTCTCTCTCTCTGTGTGTGTGTGTGTGTGTGTGTGTGTGTTTTTCTCTGGTCAAATTAACATAAAATGAATAAACAAGTAAAATTAAATAAGAATAATTCTTTTAAAAAAAAACAAGAGAAAACACGAGATGAAGACCGCCTTCTACAGAAATGAGGAAAGCCTTGCTTTGTGAGATCTTGGCCGAGACTTTTTTTTTGGAGAGGTTTTTTTTTTTGCTATAGGGCGCGTGCACTCGCCAGACAGACAGAGAGAGACATAGAGACAGAAAGCGAGAAATCACCCCTCAGGGTGGATGGTCATGCCGCAATCCCTTCTCCTCCATTCTCCTCTCGGGATCTTGGGCACGCACGCACACGCGCCCGGCGTGAGTTTTAAGCCACCGGGTCCGGGACGCGAACCGCGGTCAACTACGTTGTAGTCCAGCGACATAGCCATTATGCTAACTGCTGGTTCCCCCCGAGACTTTTCAAAAGGAAGTTAATGAGAGATGAAAAAGTAGGTGCTATTCCTTTTATAATGTGTAGATTGAGACTGAAGAGACCCAGCCTGGTGGTACAGTTGGTGGAAACTGAACTGCAGTGCCGTACGCCACACGAGCAGCCATGGGTTCTGATCCCCAGGTCAGCCTGAAAACGTGCTGGGCATGTCCATGCCCCAGAGCCTGACGACGGTAATGCTGGGGAAAGGGACTGCAGTGTGGTGACACCCTGCGGAAGGCTTTCTCATGCATGCTATCCACGTGCCTTCGATCATGAATGAACTCATCATTAGCTTAGTTCCAGTCTGGGCGCTAGCCTTTTAGAGTTCCAGGTGCGATAGTAAGGAATTTTTTGGGTTTGGAAGAATTTGAACTATTACTCAAATGAATATGGTGGCTTTGTTTCGGACTACCTGTACACCTGGTATTCCTGGCCCTTATGCTGACCAGGGAGTATGTGTTAACTTCATTGAGTTCTAAAGACAGGGAGTGGCAGCTGGGGGCCTTGATCATGTTGCGCTGCCTGCCGCTGCGGTGAGTTCCGTAGGGATGTGCAGCGCAGAGCAAGCTCAACAGGAAAATTCCTCAGCACTGAGGAAGTCACCTGCCCTCTTGGCTGGACCAGGAATGCCAGGACCCCTGTCCTCGTACATCTCAGGCCCACACTCTAACCCTGCCTGGACTTGCTTGGTGGTAATTTGCTGCTCAAGCAATGTTAAACCCACGTAGATCAACAGTTCCTGGGTTGACCTGGACACACTAGGCCCCAGTCATGATCCTGGCTGGCTGGCAGGGCTGTTGGCGATCACAGTGTGACTGTGGAAGGTGCTTGTCTTTCTCTCACGCTCATGAAAGAAACACACTTTACCAAGTATTTGTTCTCCATGCCAGCTTCCCTCAAGAAGTATTAGGTCGTTGGGAAAGTCATGAGATATTTTTCTATGCAAAAATGCATCATGACTTTATCGGCAACCCAATCATTTTCTAACACGGGGAAGATGGGGGCAAGCCAGGGGCTGGAAAGAATAAAATTTGAGATTTATTTTTTAAAAAAATTATGATGGCATGCACATGCACACGAGAGAGATGAGCTCCCCCACAGGGTCTGGTCATGCCATGACCCCTCTCCAGCCCTCCGGTTTGTTGGGTATTGGGCACTTGTGCAAATGTCTGGAGTGCTTTTCAGGCTGACCGGGTTGGGGATTTGAACCTTGGTTGCCACATGGGATCTGGCTTCTCTTAAGCAGTCAGTACTGCCCCAAAGAGCCAGCCTATGCTTAGAGATCTGAAAGAAATGATCTCTGTTCCACCAAAGGCCAGCTCCATCGCTCACGCCACTGCCAGCTGTGGGTCCTGAGTACATGCTCTTCTATCACGGGGTCCTTAGAACTCTTAAGGGCTGATTTTCAAGCATCACTTAGAAATCATCATTTCAGTGAGGAAAAAAAGCTCTTGGAACCCGGATAGCTGCAGACTGAATAAGCTTACTTTCCTGCAAGAATGTCAGTAAATCTTCCTGTAGGAGTTTCAGGTGCGTGAGGGCAGCCGAGGTGTGTGAGGCCTGCCACATGTCACCAGGCAGCTGAGGGCTAGCTTAGCACGTGTTCTCCGCCTCCTCACCCGCTGCTGTGACCAGCCGAGCAGGGCTCCTCACACACTTGGCAGAGCATCTCGGTGATTGCTCTCTGTAGACAGTGCGTCCTATCAGACCAGGAGGCATGTCCACAGCAGTCCACCTGGTGCAAGAGGATACAGACACTTAGGAGTCGGACTTAGTGTGACCACTTACTTCACGTGGCTTAAAAGGGTGAAAAAGTCCCTATTTTCCTTGGTCAGTAGATGCCTCACTTGAGTCTATGGCTGTCGTAAATTGTCGGGACTAATTTTACTCTAAGAGTGCACAATAAAAGGACCTATGGGTTTGTCACGCTTTCATTTTTAAAGAGAGATGAACATGAGACAAAGATCTCTCTTCTAATTATCTGCTCGTTAGCCCAAATCCTCTCATTTTAGTCCTCTTAGGTATGCCCACGTGTGATCTTGGTAATGTTCCATTCCTGAGAGCATCCAGAACACTGGAAAAAGAGCGATTTGGGACCAGCAGTTAGCATAATGGCTATGTCGCTGGATTCCCACGTATTCGACCGCAGTTCACGTCCTGGACCTGGTAGCTTAAAACACGCCGGGCGCGTGTGCGTGCATGCCCAAGATCCCGAGAGAAGAATGGAGAAGGGATTGCGGTGTGGCCATCCGCCCTTGGGGGGTGATTTCTCGCTTTCTTTCTGTCTCTGGTGAGCGCATGCACCCTATAGCAAAAACCTCTTAAAAAAAAAAAAAAAGGTGATTTATGCCAGACCTCCCTCACTTTTAAAAGCCATTTTAAAACTACATACAGGGGGAACCAGCAGTTAGCGTAATGGCTATGTTGCTGGACTCCCACAGTCGACCGCGGTTCGCATCCCAGACCCAGTGGCTTAAAACCCACACCAGGTGCGTGTGCGTACCCCAGTTCCTCATTACAGCTCCCCAGAAAATGGGAGCTATGCGACAGTTTCATGATTTCCTAGAGATTTCCATGTATAAAAAATATACATGCTGTGAGACAGAATAAGTTGTTTTTTTTTTTTTTTTTAACATTTAAAACCCAAATAAGAACAAAAAACTCTTGGAATGCAATTAATTAACTTTATAA